GCCTGGGGGTAGGCGGCGGCGGGGCAGCCAGGGAGGGTGCTGGAATCCAGGCCCCGCTCTCCTTGCAGGTGCCCATGGCGTCGGAGCGGCGCAAGGTCAAGTACCACTGGAGCAGCTCTTCGGAAGGGTGTCCCAGCAAGCGCAGCTGCCTCCGGGAGCCCAGTGATGTGGCCCCCTCCAGCCGCTCTGCTCGTAGCTCTGCGTCGCGGTCAGCAGGGGCCAGCAGCCCAAAGCGCTTGAAAGCCCACAAGGAGGACGATGTGGCCTGCGCGCCGAGGTTATCCTGGAGCTCATCTCGTCGCAGAAATTCCTCCTCCTCCTCCTCTTCGCATTCCTCCGGCCCAGGTGTGGGCGGGGCCGCCTCCAAAGGCTGCGTGATTCGGAGCACTCGGGGGTTCCTTTCCTCCGGGGAATCCCCTCTGCACCCTGCCAACCCCTCTCTAGAAGAAATGGCTTCTCTAGAAGAGGAAGCCTGCAGCCTTAAGGTAGGTGGCTGCAGTGTCTCGCCGTGGGCGAAGCTGCTCCCACGTGTTGGGAGCCTTTTGGGATGGGGATTTTGGTGGAGAGACTACAGAAGAGCATGTCCTGGAGGTCCCTGGGGTTTTCCCAGAAGGCTACTCCACCCAGACTCTGTAAACCAAGCAGGGGGCCAGGGAGTGGCCTGATACTCAGTAGAGAGGCACAGTAGTTTTCAAACTCCAGGGTACTTGTACCTGCCGCCTCCTCCCCAACTGATAGGACAGGGCTGGGCTGTGCCCTGGGCTTCAAGATTTGTAACTTCCCAGCTGACTGTAAACGTGGGTCCAGGTTGGAGAATCCCTGCAGTCGAAGGTGGACTGCATGCTCGAGAGGCCCGGATGGATTTATCTTAGTCGTTAGTTTAAGGAATTGTGCCCTTGTTTTGAACCCTTCTGAATCTGAGCCACGGAATTTGGGTTTTGGTGCGACTTCTCACCAGAGTCACCGCTTCCAGCACTTTAGAGTTTTGTTTGGTGATGCAGGGTGGTTGTTTTTTTTTTTTTAAGAAGAGAATTTTGGGACTAGCAGTTAGCGTAATGGCTATGTTGCTAGACTTCCATGTAGTTGACCATGGTTCGAGTCCCAGACCCAGTGACTAGTGGCTTAAAATTCACACTGGGCGTGCATTCCCAAGATCCCAAGAGGAGAATGGAGGAGAAGGGATTGCGGCGTGGCCATACCCCCCCGGAGGGGGTGGTGGTGTCTCACTTTCTGTCTCTCTGTCTGTCTCTTTCTGGCGAGTGCACGCGCCCTATAGCATAAACCTCTCCAAAGAAAAAAAAAGAATTTTGCTATCAAGTGTTTGCGCTTGCTGGAGAGACAGAGACAGAAAGCAAGAAATCAACCCTCCCCCCCAAGGGGGATGGACAGGCTGCAGTCTCATCTCCTCCATTCTTGGGAACACATGAACACGCACCCGGTGTGAGTTTTAAGCTGCCGGATCTGGGCCTTGAACTGTGATTGACTAGTGAGAGTCAAGCAGTGTAACCGTTACGCCAGCCGTGCTCCCAACAGGAACACAGAACTTCATAGCAGAGGGAAGAGTGATTCATGGAGAAGGTTCCTTTCACCCACTCATTCAGCGAGGCTTATGAACAGATATTTTTGGGGGGACTAGTTGGTGCCAGGCAGTGTTCTAGGTGCTTAGGATTCCCTAATAACAAATATCTTTGCCCTTCTTAGAATTTGCACTTTAGATTTTAGAGCTCTGGGGCTTGAAAAGTTCTGCATGTGGAGAAGTGGAAAGAAAGACTTACTTGGGGTAAGATGGGTGGCCCCTCGAGAAAGTTATTTTTACAGAAACTTACTAACAGGTCCTAAGGTAATTGTGGTTGTTTTTAAGTCTTAACTCCACAGGAGTGGTTTATTGTGTGGAGTTAATAAGTCAGGGCGAATCCTGGTGAGCCCTTAAGTTAAGTGTCCGGTTTTTCAGTGTGGACCGCCCACTCTTGCGTGACCACGTGGATTTTTTGTTTTCAAGTCATAATGGTGAATTGAAAAGTTCTGTCTTTGGCGCAAGAATACTGAGTGTGACTCAAATCTGTATCAGGTGAACATTCGCTCTGCTCACTAATTTAATCATGCAATCATTCTCGATACCATGTCAGTGGGCTAGGCACAGCGTAAAGTAATATCAGTTGATTATGTTTAGTGACAATTAGAGAACCCTGTTATCAGGAGGGACGGGAGCTTTATTTTCCTTAGTCGTCAGGTGCACTGCATTTCTGCCCCAGGCTGTCCTGCAAATCAGAAACCCAAAGTTTGTGGAATGGCAGCCTCTAATCTGGGTGAGTCTAATTTAGGGTAGATGCACCTTTCTCTCCTTAAATTCAAAGGGCCTTGTTTTTCTAGCATCCCGTTTAATGGTTTCGGTAAGCACTCTGTTGGAACTTGGGGTGATGAGAAAGCTGCTAGGCAGCGTGGTGGGAGGGCTGTGGTCAGTCACACGGCTGCCCCACGATGTGCCGTGATGGAGCGGAACACCCAGAATGGGTGCTGCAGAGCTAGGAGGAGACAGATCTCAGTGAGGCTTAAGTAGCCAGGAGAATTTGGATTTTATTCTGAAAGGTTGGGGTTGTATTCTTAGTCACTAGAGAGTTTTTACAGGATTCTGTGTAGAGAGGAGGCAGATTTGGATTGCAAAAAGATCATTCACGTTGAGGGATAGCAGTGTTATCAATTCTGACTGTACATCTACAGCGCTGCTGAGGTTTCTCCTTAGAGCATGTGTTGGTCAGTTTGAAAACATGATACCGGGGCCAGCAGGTGGCATGCTGGTTAAGGCACTGGACTCCCACGTGGTCAACCTCGGTTCGAGTTCCATACCTGGTGGCTTACTTTTTCACTTGCTGTCTCTCTGGTGAGCACATGTGCTCTGCCCTATAGCCAATTAAAAATAATAAAAATTTAAAAAAGAACAGGACACAGTACTTTTTTTTTTTTTTCATCTTAATAAATTGCCGAATACCTTTTTTTATCTTTCCCCTCTGCCTGCACCTCTTCCCCACGGGCTGGCTGTGAGGTGCAAACTTGTCTGTCTAGTAAGTCCCATGAGCAAGCACAGCTGAGGAGTGCTCAGGAACCTGCATGTGCTTCTGGGTTTCTCCAGGCTCCCCCTCTCGCCCACCTTCTACCTACCCATCTCCTCCATCTGCTCTGTGAGCTTTGCGGGGTGTGACTGTGCTTTGTGTCCCTGCCCCCCCCCCACAGCCTTCAACACGGACCTCTTTGTGCAGGTCGTGGAATGTTGGGGGGGGGACGATGTTAGACTGCGCATTTTAGGATCAGGAGATTCCCACTGGCCAGCCTCACGTAGCTCCCTGTCACCTGCAGAATAATAGATAATATGTAGATAATATGTTTTCTGCAATTCTAACGGAAGCTGACGAGCTTAGTTTCTTTTCATAGAGAAGGTTAAATGTTACGAGCACCTTCGTCTCTGCTGTATTTCGTCTTTACTATGACATATCTGAATTGCAGCCTTCAGGGGTAAAGCAGGATGCTCTGTGAGGCGGACCCACGTGGGAAGGTTCTGAGTTCGCATCTGCAGACCTCCCTGCGTTTTCGAGGTACAGGTGTGTTCATGATCTGGGGCTGGCTGAAGTTGGGGTGGATCTTGGTGTTGGGACCCTGATGAGGTGCTGTCTCTCTCACTCATGAAGGGAATAAATAGACTTAAAAAAATGTTTTGGTGGCATGGTGGTTAAAGCAATGTGATCCCACACGGGTGACTGTGCTCAGAGTCCAGGACCCAGCAGCTTGAAAAACATGCCAGGTGCATGTGTGTGTACCCAAAATCCTGAAAGAATGGAGAATTGCAGTGTGGCTATCCTTCCTGAGAAGTGCTTGCTCGCTTTCTCTCTGTCTCTCTCCAGTGAGTACATATACCTATAGCAAATATTTTTGTTTCTGAGAGGTTTTTGCTATAGGTACATGCGCTCGCCAGAGAGACAGAGAGAGACAGAAAGTGAGAAATCACCCCCCAGGGGGGTGGCCACGCCACAGTCCCTTCTCCATTCTCCTCTTGAGATCTTGGGTATGCACGCACATGCACCCAGCTTGCGTTTAAGCCACTGGGCCCGGGACTCAAACCGTGGTCGGCTGCATGGGAGTTTGGCGACATAGCCATTATGCTAACTGCTGGTCCCACCTATAGCAAATTTAAAGGGAAAAAAAAAAGTTAAAAAATAATTTTAGGGAATGAAGAATAGAAAGGGAAATTTGAGCATTTACAATGTAATAGGCTTTGATCAAATGTAATTTTTAGCATTTGACCAATAGACTGTCACGTTCCTCCTAAGAGTCTCCTGAAGTAGTATTATCTCTGTGTATCAGTTAACAAATACTTTCATAGTGATTAACAAATATTTGAGTACCTACCTCTGTGCAGTGGGAAAGGAGACTCAGAAAGGTTAAATAACTTGACCAAGACCGTGCAGCTGGTAAGCGGCAGAGCTGTGGGGTAGTCCCAGGTCAGTCTGACTGCCAAGCCAGTGCTCTGCAGTGCTGCTCTCTGGGCACCTGCTGCATCCCAGCCCGGCATAACTGCTAGGCAGGGAGACAGGGAGGGCAGCTCCTCGAGGGGCTCCGTGGGCCAGATGGCCCAGACACCGTGCATCGTCTCGGCTCTTTAGTGACAGCTTTCACTAGCCCCTTCTCTGCGTCTTCACTCAGGCGCCCGGGGCTGGTGTGGAAGACTGTGCTGGGCACTGGAGGGCTAGGGGCAGTGAGGCTGTTATTGATAGGCTCAAAAACCAGTCCTGGCAGGGCAGGGAGCCGCAGGGAGCTGACTGCTGTAACAGGGTGTTTGAAGACCCTCCCCGGAGATTAGGAGTGAGCCACTACCCACCGGAAGGTTGTCACAGAGGAGCTGAACCTGACCCATCCTGGGACATGAGGAGGAAGAGAGGAGTCTGCAGGCAGAGAACAGTCCGTGCCCAAAACGTGCCAGGAAATGCCACTGCTGGTTCCTGAGGGCCTCCTTTCCCTCTTCATACCTGTCTTCATTCCTGAACACTTAGGAGTTTGGAGAAAGTGGGAGCTGGTGAGGGACAGATCTGGGGTGAGCCTGTGAGGGGCTCCGTTGTGTTTAGGAGTTGGAGATTGTGCTGTCGAGGGTTTACGCAGAGGCATGAAGTTGCAGGGCTTGGCTTTCAAGCTCCTCCCGGCCCACTGGAGAAAGGATGGGGGAAGGCGCTGCATTGACCTGTTGGGGACAGTTGAAATTGTCGGTGATGTGGGCAGGAACAACAGCGCTACCTGATTCTCCCTCCTGCCTTCAGGATGCACGGGTCACTGAGCAGTGCTACCAGGAAAAACGAGGTCTCTGTTCCCAAGCCAGGTGGTCTGTTTCCTTTGCTGTCTGCCCGCTCCTCACCTTCACAGCCTCCTTCAGCTGCTGGAACTGCCTCAGTGACCTGGACCCACCTTGGGCCTCACAGCCACTGACCTCGACAGCTTCCCGCGCTGTTCCTCCCGTCATGCTTTTCCGCGCTCTCCTCCTTTGGGTTCTAGGACGTTGAGAACTCGAGTTTGAATTCTAGTTCTGCTGTTCACAAGTCAGGTGGCATTTTCCCCTCCGGCAGCTTTGTAAATTCACATGAAAACGTGAGGTCGTGTTACTGTATCCCTAACCTTTCCACTCCCCTAACTATAGTCCTGGCCTTCACAACCAGGGTTGGCAAACTGCTGGTCCACAGACGGAGTATAGCTAAGCTCTCAAAACATTTAAAGTTTTGGAAAAATCGCATTGGAAATGCATGACTGCAGCGAATCCTCTAACTTTAGGTCAAGATAACTGCCCTCTTTTTTTTTTTTTTTTTTCCAAGTTTATATCTTTCGTTATAATGAGACATGGGAAGATAAGGACCCTCAGCAGGGTCTCAGACTGCCATTGGCCACCTCAGCCTTCCTGGTCAGCCAGGTTCCTGGGTGCATGGGCCCAGCGTTTGCAGGTCGGGAGAACAAACCTGCAGTCTTTCATATGATCCAGCATGCCTGGCAGAGGGTTGCTGCTGGGCCTGCAAGCCAGCCTTTTAATTCATTTATTAAAATGTCTGCCTATGTCTTCCACGAGAGAGAACCAGGCGCCCCTGATAGGGTCTTCACACCACCATCCACCGCAGTCTCAGCCGGCCTGGATGACAGGCACGCCCGTGCTCTCACTCTGTGTGCGCGGGGTCCCCGGGACTTGCCCCCAAGACCGTTCCCACGTGGGTTGTGTTGCTGCTGTGCCACCACCGGCCCCTCGGGCCCCCTTTCTTGTTTTACTTTCCTCCTTGGCATCTACCACTCTCTAAAGGGTGTATTTCACTGGCTGTGTCGCGCCTCTCCTGGCTTTCCCTTCCCTCACTGACGAGAATCGAAGCTCCAGGGGGCAGGCATCTGAGTTCCATTGGATGCTAAACCGCAGACCCAGAGCAGCGCCACTGGCACATGTTAAGTGCTCAGTAAATACTTGCTGAAGGGATGAACAATGCATTAGAGATTTCTGGTTTCACCTAAAAGGACAAAAACAACCAAAAGAAAACCCAAACAAACAACCCACACAGACTCTCCCACTCAGGCTGCACCCCCAGGTGGCACCAGTCGGCTCGAGGTGAGGAGCAGTTGCACTCTCAGGGGTGCTGTGGTCCTCACCCTCCCGTGTCGTCCTGTACCTGGCCTTGCAGGGCGATGAGAGGGCAGAGGTGGGAAAGCCCTTAAAGAAGGGAGGTTGAGGCTCCAAGGAATAGTAGTTGATCAGACATAAACTGGGGCTGAGGCCGGCATCACAAGCAGAGGACGGTAAGGGCGTCTGATGAGCCGTGCACGGCAGGTGGCTGGTGGGATCCAGGCAGGAGCTGGTGCAGCAGGCTGGGAAGCTGGAGCTGTGGCAGGGCAGGCCTGGGGAGCACGTTTGAGAAAGGGCCTTCTGTGATGGCCAGGCTGGCCCCCAACCTTCCTCCTTCCTGTGTCAGCCTCACAAGTAGCTGGGATTGCAGGTGTGTACCACCATGCCCTCTATTGGGTTGTCAGAATAGTCATATATTTTTCCTGTTTATCCATGCAAAAATGCGTCATGGCTTTTCTGACAACCCAATATTTTTAATATTAATTAGAATTACTTACAGAAAGATAAAAAGAAAACAAAATGACCCCTGATCTTTTTTATTTATTTTTTTTCTGGCTAATCCCTATAGACACATGTTAGCAAATCCAGAAAGTTAGAAAATTTGGTAAGCTTAGGAGAGGTTCAAATTATGAATAAATGCCACTTTTCCTTGTTAAAGTTAGCAGCTGCCAGCCATTTGAGTAGTTTCAGAAGAAAATATATCTATACCAACATCTATATGTGTCCAATAGTGTAATTAAAAAATTTTAAAATTATTTGATTTTATTTATCATTATTTTTAAATTTGACCAGAGACAGACAGAAAAAGAGAAATGAGAAAGTAAGCCATAGGTCTGGTACTTGAACCGTGGTTGGCCATGTGAGAGTCCAGCACCTTAGCCACCATGTCACCTGCTGGCCTCATATTTTTCTCTTTTTAAGAAGTTCCATGAGAGGGAACCAGCAGTTAGCGTACTGGTTATGTCGCTGGATTCCCACGTCGACCGTGGTTCGCATCCCAGATCCGGTGGCTTAAAACTCACGCCGGGCACGTGTGCGTGCGTGCCCAAGATCCCGAGAGGAGAATGGAGGAGAAGGGATTGTGGTGTGACCATCCCCCCTGCGGGGTGATTTCTCGCTTTCTGTCTCTATGTCTCTCTCTGTCTGTCTGGCGAGCGCACGTGCCCTATAGCGAAAACCTCTCAAAAAAAAAAAAGTCCCATGAGAGAGAAAGAGACAAACAGAGACACCTTCAACAAGAGAGACAGACAGTGAAAAGGAAAGTGAGAAATCACTTCCCAGGGGATCGTGGCTACACTGAAATTTCTTCTTTCTCCTTTGGACATGCATGCACACACACCAGCATGAGTTTGAAGCTGCTGGGTCTGGGACTCGAACCGTGGTCAGCCATGTGGGAGTCCAGTGCCTTAACCACTACCCCACCTGCTGACCCCAAAAACGTCTTAACTTTTTCCTGGATTGGGTGCAGAGGGTAAAGAAGAGAAGGAGTAAGCCTTTACTTCTGTCTCTGAGGAGATTCTAGATTAATCCTCACAGTGTTGAGGGGATTGAGGCAGAAGTTTGTGGAGTATTTTAAGGAGGCTGGGATGTAAGAGGTAAGAGCCCACTAAGGACTCATGAAGTTGGGGTTCTTTGGGCTAGCCTTTTCCCTTGCTGGGTCTTTAGGTTTTTTTTTGACTCAGATGTAGATGAACCTAGTTGATATCTAGGGGCCCTTCCAGTGAGAAATTTTGAGCTTCCATTTTGCCTGTGGGTGTTCTGAAGAGTGGGGTGGTGCTTGCCCTTCACAGGCCTGTAGTCCAGTTAGGCTGCTCATCTCAGCTCATCCCTTCCTGGGCAGTGAGAGGCTGTCATCTGAGTATGAGAAGGTGGATGGCAAAGCCTGGCTGTGATGGTGCGCGTTGTAGGCCACTGTGGAACCATGCTGGAGCTGCACAGAAGGCCTGGGTTCAGATCCTGCTCCAGCCTAAACGTGTCGGGCGTAGTGGTGCGTGCCTGTGGTCCTAGCTAACTGGGAGGCTGGGGCAGGAGGGTCGCAGCACGCCAAGGCCCTGTTGAAAATACTTAACTCTCTCCCTCATTAAAAACGGAAATGGGCTGGCCCAGTGGCTAGTGTTAAGCTGGTCACCTAAAGCCAGATCTGTATGGAAGAATGTGAGTTTTCTGTCAATCTGTACTTGCAGTGCACACAGCCACGATCCTTCCTGGCTGGGGGAGTTGAGGGAGATCGTGGCCTGCGGTCCTGTTGACAGTGCTTGTCTCTGTCTCTCTGTCTCTCACTCATGAAAGAAAGACTGAGAGAGGGAAATGACAAGATTTGGTGGCAGATCTGTACTTGCAGTGCACACAGCCACGATCCTTCCTGGCTGGGGGAGTTGAGGGAGATCGTGGCCTGCGGTCCTGTTGACAGTGCTTGTCTCTGTCTCTCTGTCTCTCACTCATGAAAGAAAGACTTAGGGAAATGACAAGATATGGTGGCAGTTCATTCCCTTTTATAGGGGCACTTCGGGGGTTGGGATGAGGATCTTTGCCTCAGCCAGTCAGTTTCCTCGGGAGTGGCGGAATAGCCACTCATTCATAACTTGCCGCGTGCTTCATGTACAAGTCACCTCCACAGCCTTCAGAAATCTGTGTTTTCTTCTAGGTCGATTCCAAAGATAGTTCTCGTAGCTCCACGAACTCCGAATTTGCAGCTGAAGCTGAAGGTCAGAACGATAGGACTGAGGAGCCAGATAAGGTCCAGAAAAGGAAGAGGGACAGACGCCGAGACCAAGGCTCCACAGTGATCTACCTGAAGGCTATCCAGGGCATCCTGGGCAAGTCGGTGCCCAAGCGGAAGGGCGAGCCCGTCCCCAGGACAAAACCGAGCCCAGGAGAGCGTCCGAGCCGAGGAGAAGGACTGGCCAGCGCGCCCCAGAAAGAGAAGGAGTCAGCCCCAAAGGCCAGGGTGGAGGAGGAGAAGCCTGTGCTCGAGCGGGCCAGCTTCTGTGACAGGAGAGTGGTCATGGATCCTCCGGACAGGCCCAGCCAGGAGCCTCTTGGTGACCGCAGGACAGTCATTGACAAACGCTCTCCGTCCCTTGAGTTTTTGGACGACTCTGACTCTCATTTGGAAGGCCAGAAGGTGAGTGAAGCTGTGCCAAGCACCTGGGCTTTAGCACTCTCGGTGAGAAGGACAGGCTTCCCAGTTAGACCTTAGTGAAAGGCAGCTTCTTGCTGGACCCTGACTCTAGGAAACAGACAGCTCCTCATAATGTACTTTTCAGAGTTATTAGTAAACTACAATTTGGTGCTCCCGTTTTCTTCTTCTTCTTCTTTTTTTTTTTTTTTTTTTTTTTTTTTTTTTTTTTTAGGTTTCTGCTGTAGGGTCCAGAGAGACCCTAAGAGAGAGTGGGGGAAAGAGAAGTTGCCCCCAGGGGGATGGCCATGCCGCAGTTCCTTCTCCTCTCGGGATCCTGGGCACGTACACACATGTGCCCAGTGTGAGCTTAAGCCACCGGGTCCAGGACTCTAACTGCAGTCGACTACATGGGAGTCCAGCGACATAGCCATTACGCTAACTGCTGGTCCCTGACAGACTACTTCATAGCCTTGTCCTGGGGCATGCTTCAGGCGCAGTTCACGCAGCGGATAGGCTGCACATGGCTGCGGCCCCTTTTTGGCGCGGCCGTTGTTCCTTCTTTTCTTCGTCATCTTGGAAGCGAGGCTGCGAGTCGTGTGGTTTTCGTATCTGTTAGGGCTAAATCTGTTTGGGGTTTGTCGTTACTGTGGTCGTGGCTGGGTCAGGCCGTATACTCTGCACTTTTTTGTAAAACTGTGCTTTCCTAAAGGTAATCATTACCTTGTTTTTTCTTTTAATTTTTCCCTGTTATCTATCACTACGTCCCTTAACTGCCAGAGCCAGAAAATTCTCAATAATGTCAAAACAAGTCAGCTGTTCCCCTTTTTTGGGAAGCGTACTTCCCCAAGCCCTCAGGCACCCTGCAGGTCTGGACTGCGTGCTGCAAGGCCCGCTGACAGCTCTTTGTGGGCGCTCCCTTCGTGCTTGTCCTGGGTTGCGTCTCTGTCTCTGGGGTTCTGTGTCTTCCCATAGTCTCCCTCCTTGGGTTATCCTCGCATGTTGGTAGAATCCTTTTTTCAGTGGCTTCTTGTGAAACAGTGCCTGGAAACTACCTGTTTTGGAAGACGCGTGTGTCTGCGGTTGGCTTTGTTTTCGCCTCAGCCCGGTGACAGCTCGGTCTGGCTTTGGATGCCCAGCTTGGGAAACCTTGGTATAGGGTTGTTTTTCCCCCTCTCTGGAATCTTGAAGAATGTCTTCTGATGGCAGGGATCTGAAATTTCACGATGTCCTCACCCACCTTTCCTCACCCACGTTGCTCAGTGTGGGACGGTCTCTTTCAGGCTAGATTTCATAACCCCGTTGCCCACTAAATACAAAGCGGCAGAGTGTGCGGCCTCGTGTGGGTGAACCTTGCAGCTTCACCTCTCCGGTCCTGCTGTGCCTGTCTCTGCTCTGGACGCGTTTGGAGGCACCACAAGTATGGCAGGAGAGCACGGGAGTGGTGGGGTCGGGCCTTTGGTTAAAATCCTGGCTTTGCCAGCTGAATTGTGATCTTGAGAGAGTTATTTAACCTCTTCAAGCCTCAGTCCCTCCCTCTGTGTAGAAAGGGATAGTTCTTCAAATGTTAGTGTGGTTGAAAAAGTAACACAGGGGTCAGCCAACTTTCCGTAAAGGGCTAGGCAGTAAATATTTTAGATGTCGTGGGCCACACATCCTGTGTTGGAGCCAGTCAGCTCTGCGTGAAGCCAGCCAGAGACAGCACGTGGTGACCGGGCCTGCCTGTCCCAGGAGAGCCTACTCACACCAGCAGCCAGTGCGTTGGGTTTGGCCTGTGACCCGTAGTTCGCTGAACCTTAAATTAATGCGTAAGGACTGGAACCAGCAGATGGTGTAATGATTATGTCACTGGACTCACGGAGTCCACTGCGGTTCAAGTCCTGGACCTGGTGGCTTCATACTTAGGCTGGGTACACACATGTGTGCGTGCATGCCCAAAATCCCAAGAGGAGAATGGATTTGCAGTGTGGCCATCCCCCCTGGGGGGTGATTTCTCAGTGTCTCTCTCTGTCTCTTCCTCTCTCTCCAGCAAGTGTATGTACCCTATAGCAAGAATCTCTGTTAAAAAAAGTACATGAGGATACTTGGGGTCAGTGCCTAGTGTGTAGTTGGCTTTTGATAAATGTAACTTAAAACTTCACTGATAAGAGCATGAACCTAAGGTAATCTCGAATATAGTCAGTCTCCTGCTTTTCTAAAAAGAAAATCGAGAATTCTTTATTTTAAAATTTTTCCTGGGACCCGCAGATGGTGCAGTGGCTACAGCACTGGACTCCCACGTGGGCGACTGTGGCTAGAGTCCCGGATGCCACTGCGTGTAAGTGCATGCGCGTGTAAGTGCGTGCACGTGTAAGTGCGTGCGCGCGCCTGCCTGCCCAAAATCCCAAACGGGGAATGGAGGAGAAGGGATTGCAGCGTGGTCATCCCTCTGGGGGGTGATTTCTCGCTTTCTGTCTCTCTGTCTCTCTGGTGAGCGCACATGCCCTATAGCAAAAAAATCTCTCTTAGACAATTTTTTTCTTGTCTGAGAGCATTTGTAGTTGGGATGGGGAGTGCCCCCCTAGTGAGTGGTCTCTCCTCAGTCCCTTCTCCTCCATTTCTTCCCTCAAGATTTCGGGTATTCTTGTACATGGGCCTACCATGTTTTCCAAGACTCAAACCACGTGGTTGGCCAGGTGGGGTACTGCTGCCTTAATCACACCACCAACTGACCCCCAAAACCTTTGGGCTAACTTGACCATGCAGGCATTTCAGGGGTATAGGTGACATACTCATGTTGGTTTATAATCTGTCTTTGAGTTACATGACCATTGTTGAAATTGCTTTTTTTCCCCTCACCCAGCCA